TTTCAGCTGCTCTTATACATCATTTAAGTAAAATCTCAGGAAGATCAATAGTTTTGTAGTTCGAATTTTAGTGACGTCATGTGAAAACCAGCTATTGGTACGAGTAGTGGAATTATTCCCTGCGAACATATGGAGTCCTGGACTATTGGTCACTATTCAGTAATGATTTCACGATAAAAGCCATCGGCAGTTACAGGCCTAGGACGATCATAAGCTAATCTTTATTGGAAATCGCTCTTATTATTCAGTTTAGTTTATCGTCCTCTCTGTCTCACGGTCTGACTAAGTCGGACGATTTTTTGGAGATACTGCTCCTATCTTCCGCGCTCCAGACTTGACAACGAAGTTCAACTATCCCACCGGTCGAAGTGAAGCGTGGCCGTGTATCGTATATAAATAAAGAAAAGGATAGATTTCTGATAAAAGTTGTTTTGTGTAAAGATATCAAGATAAGCTATTTACGATTGGAGTATCAATCCTGTGCAGTTTCAGCGTTACGTTAATTCATATTTTGTATGATTTGAAAGCATTCAAGCTATGCTGCTCTAGACGTTCTAGGCGAAAAAAAAAAAGAAGAAGAAATAAGACTAAGCAGAATCTTGCATGTATCCAAAATAGCGTGACCTTGCCCATTTCACGTTATCGGGTATCCTAATTATGTTTTTAATTCTAACCAACCGCGCGTACTTTGTATGGTTTTTATTAATATTTTCCAATATGGGAGGCAGACATGCAATTTATCGCGCCAGTCGACTTCCGTGCTTTTTAATAAACTAACAAAAATAACAAACTGCCTGCGAGGACAAAATGAAATAGAGGTGTTATATCAAAAACTATACTTGCGGAAATTACATTGTTCTAAAGCGATGGAACTGTGAACCCAAACAAAAGATAACGTATTAGAAGGTAGAGAAAAGAATCTTTGGTATCATCAATCAATGATTTTCTGTTGACTTGCGGTTTCACGGGAAACAATTCTTTGATATTACAAAAAAAATCATACAAATGTTTTTATAAGTATGATTAATTTTTTTACTAAAAAGTATGCGTTTTCCTCCACTCCCCGCAGAGATTCAATAAGATAACGGTCTACTTCACTTGAATGTGTTTTTGCCATTATTTGTTTTCAAATTTATAAACTGTAGTAGAAACAGAGGCTTCAGGTTTCTGTTTTCGGCGAGTAAAAAGGATCGTGTTTAAAAGCGGATCAGCTGGTGCTAAAGTTTCTGAAAGCATTCTTCTGATTGAGGACCTATGTTTCTGCGTTTTTAATAGGTACTTTCCGCTTCCCCCTGGACTAGCTTTTTTAAAGATCTTTTTTTTTTCTTTTTGTAATTACTAGAATACCTTGACCCGAGGGCAAAGAAGCCCGCGAACCAATGAAATATGAATAGCTTTCCAACACACTCATATGTAGTGTGTTTACTCGATTTGCATTTGAATGTTTGCTTTGACCGAGCGATAACGATTCAGAGCGACATTGAAGCTCAGAGTTCGTTTGACTTGACGCTGTGGACAAGTCTGGCGTTTCGCCGGGAGCAACAAACGTGAAGAATAAGCGAAAACAATGCTCTCCATACAAGTGTGTCACTAAAGTGCTATTATTTCCGATATTGAAAGTCACGCAGTGGATTCGAGAATTGTAGGTAAGTGGTTCAAGTGCGGTACTAAATGGTTTTGAAACCAATTGCATGCGATTGAAGGTTTTCAACGACCAAACAGCGATTTCTTTGTTCTAACAAAGAAAGGATCTGAATTTCCAATTATATTCGCCGACATTGAAATTCGCTCCACGACAAAATCTAACAATGCGCTCGCGGTCAGCGTCTAAAGTACTTTAACTGCACTTGGGCAAAAATTTTCGGCGCTAACGTCGCGTCAGTAGGTTAGTTCTCCTCATATTCAACGGTGTGAAACTCTTGTCTATTTCAGTCTTCGTGTATTCGATGTCAGTCGATTTGACCGATCGATGCATACTGATGAACCCAAGGTTTGAATGATTGCCGGCCAAATCACTTCATTCGCTTTGTACTAGCAGCTTCCGAGTGACCTGTTAACTCTCTTATCAGACGTGATGTCGATCGCCTTGAGCGCTCAAAACGCTCAAGCGTCTCGACTGACATTCTTAGCTTTAAAACCTATAAAATAGGCAACAGGATTGTTTGTAGGAACAAAAGTAATACGACTTGTTTTGTATTCGCGGCAATCAAGGAGCCATGTCAAAGCTGCCACTTAATTAATTGTTTATTCATTGGCAAAAATTTTGTTTCGGTTTTTTTTCTTTTCATCGAAGTTCCGTCAATTTTATTTGTTTATTTTCGTGACGACGAACATTAATTTTCTTTGAATTGAAAGCAGATTAGATAAAGAGCAACCAGTAACACAAGGTAAAAAGCTCAATGAACGGATCCCGACTCTTTTCGGCTAAGAGCTAGCGCTATTAAACTAGGAAAAAAGAAATTAAACTATTTTGCAGCTGACATTGAACTGACAGAGGAGAAGATCAGAACAAGTTAGACAACAAATTCATAACACACGAAAAACAAATTAAAGACAGAAAAGAATAAAAGATGACAGCCCTTGAACTGAGCTGACCGCTAGTAAACTCTTTAAAGTTTTCCTCTGTCGAAAATGTTGAAGGGGTACTGGGAAAGTGAACTGACCAGGTGTCGATTTTCTAAACCACCCTCAAAATGTGTTGAAGTTTTACAGAAAAATCCTGCCAATAGTTCCGATTTCTCGTAAGCTTTGACAAATCAGTTCAATTGTAACAGCTGCCTTATGTTTAAACTACGCACAGGAACTGAAATTAATCTTTTATGTACTGAGGCACACATATGGAATTCATCGAATTGCCCCACATAAAACATGATTGTTTTTCGGCGGGCGTAAATTAACTCAGGGAAACGCGTGAAATACTTTCTCTTAATGAAAATTCAAGATGCATGGGGTATACGGTAAAGAGTTGTTAATAAGAGCAGTTATATGGTAACGGCAAGGCAGGGTGCTCGCTTTGTAAGGAATACGTACACTTGATTATGCACGAGCTCTGCGGCCAATAGAAACGTTGCTCTTACGGCAAACATTTGTTTAAGTTCTTGTCGAACATGGCGCCGACTGTCTCCTCAAAACAGAATAAAACATGCTAAAGTCGACTGGATGTTTCTGGGTGGAGTTTAGAACTTTCTGGACAAAAAGGACAGGAGTATTTGGCGAACAGAAGTCTTTCGTCTATTTGGATAAAGCGACGGCAGAATTTAGCTACTGGAACTCCGAAGTTAGTTTTGCGTGAAAATTACTGCTTTGTGGGAGATAGAGATCTACAAAGGTGAGAATTGAATCTCCTACATGCGTCTGTAATTACCACTCAGTTTGAGGTATTTTTGACAAAAGCTTTACATCGGTAAGAGCCCTTGGAACCCAGTAGGGGCTAGAAATCCATCTTTGACACACTTCGATTTTTCAAGTAAGAGCTCCCTGTCCAAAGTCGGGCAGTCGACAGTAAACCAGCAGACTCATATTATACGCTCCAAATCCATTCTTTGTCCCGGCTGTTATTGTTCATGTATAAGCACATTTAAGAAAATCTGGTAAAGCAAAAAAGAAACAATCTTTATCTCGGCTTACATTACAATTTTAACATGTATCATTATAAAACATTACGTGAGTCATCAAGTGAAAAACTGTCTCAAACCCGGCTTTATTTTGTCACCATGCTTACTGATCTGAGCCACAACTTGAAAACTATTCAATCTTGACTCTTGTGGAATTCACATCACGAGCTTAAACGAACAAGCTAGAGTACTGAGCTAGAGAGTGCCTTTGCTGTTAACTGCATCAGAATAGTCCACTATTTATATGAGCCACGGCGGACAAGACATCATGGTTGCACAACAATGAGCCGAGTGTTCAAGGCCGACCATTTGGAAAAAATTGGGAAAGAAAGAAAGAAAGAAAGAAAGAAAGAAAGAAAGAAAGAAAGAAAGAAAGAAAGAAAGAAAGAAAGAAAGAAAGAAAGAAAGAAAGAAAGAAAAGAAAAGAAACAAAATCTGCAATTGGCTGGGAAGTGCACGGGGCAGCTGAAATCGATCTAAACAAAAGAGAAAAAATTGAAAGTAAACGAAACAGTGACAAGAAGTGTTTTAATCATGCTATAATTTTTGATGGTTCTGTTTGATATTTTCTCCAATCGCGAAGCTTGTTTGATTTTTCCGAGTGCTCAGTTCGGGAAACTGGCACTTCATCAAACATGAAGAGGGAGAGAGTCCTGTTGAAATTGCTTTGGCCCCATTCATCACGGCCGGACAGAGTCAAAAGTCGTCAGAACACGCACACCGAAAAAAAAAAACAAAAGAAAAACAAAAACAAAGAATTTAGCAAGGGAAGGTTTGAATTTTAAAAGCTCAAGATTTTTTTCGAAGAGTCCTTCAGGTTTAGATATAGTGTTTCTAAAAGTATTATAATTTCGAGTGACATGGGGTGAAGTTGGTCAGTAAACAAAAATTACTAAAGAACAAACAAATAAACGAACAAACAAGCAGAAAAGAAAAAGATCTAAAAAAACAACAGCGAACGACCAAGCAAATTAAACAAACGAGTAAACAAAACCGAAAACAGACAAAATTACAGATATCCGATGCGTATCAAATTTTACCATTTATTTCATGAACTAATGATTGCAATGCATCCCATGGAAGATCATAGAATCAGTGCTACTTTTTTTCTCCTTTTCTTTTTCTTTTTCTTTTTTTTTCTTTTTTTTCAGTTTCGCGTTCTTTGATTTTTACCATTTCGTTCATAACTGTTTCGTGCCCCACGCGTGCGCTATAAATTGGGCACTCGACGATCGCGGCGAGACACTCGCATAATTCTCCGCAAGTATTTTGTCATATTACATTAAACCGACAAATCTGGGCGACAAAGTATTGTAAACCTCTCAGGTGTTGTTTGGCGATGTGTCGTGTTCTCTCATTGGCAATTATCTATTATTATCGACAATGGATAATAATTAGCAATTAAATGAAGCCGGCTGACGTCACGCTTTGAAAGCCTTTCCTACTTGTGTTTACAGTTTTATGAAACATGTGCAATCACTTATGGAGAAACTGCGTGGCTTAGATTTCATTTCTGTTCTTGGTGGAAGCTCGCAAATATGTCAGAGGGTGTTTTGATGTCGTGACTTTGTCCACTGTTTCTCTGTGCGCACGAAACGGATAAAAGCGATGCGAAACACTGTATTGCGCTAAATGAATCGCACGTGTGGTGGAGAGCAAACCCGCTTATTGTCACAAATGTTATGCAGACTTAAAGCACTCTCAAAATTGATTTGGTGTTCTAAATCTCTTAACCTTGCTGTTAAACCTCTTGAAAACCGCAGAAATCCTTCCGTGGAGACGTTACGAATCGGCGATTAGCAACAAAGAACCCACAAAGGCTAAAAGAAAAGGTCTTCTTCGCCTCAAAGGCAGCGGCAAGGTCTGCTTCGCGCAACACAAACTGACTGTGATTTCACCTTCAAAACGTGATTTCTACGATGCTGTGCGAAAGGCTGTTGTTTCCTCTTTGGTTGGCGATTATTTGCTGCGTCGGAGGGTGGCAAGATTTTGGATCTGTAAGCCGTGTTCAGCCTTACGGGAGACCCTTGAAACTCAACAGCTTGAGAGACAGTTTACCAAATACTCAGCGTCGAGCGCGCCGGGAGTTGAGTCGACTGCGACCCCGGGGGAAGTACAGGTACAATCTTAAGCGGATAGCCATTCGAGATGCCAAGAATAGGAATGCCTTATGCCTAGGTAAGATTGATAAATGAGTTATGTTATTGTGGTGGATTTAGAGTTATTTATTTGAATTGCGCAGCTGACTCAGTACGTGCGCGCTTGCTGATCTTTCACCCGGGGTCGCATTTCAACTTTTGGATCGTTGAAAATGTCGATTGTGCATTTAATCCATTGGTTTCGATCTTTTTTTTTTTTCTAGCATTGTTGCAATGAAAACCTCGCCTCTAGATAGTTTTGAGAACGTTTTAAAGTGAGAATGCCCCGAGGGACTGATTCTGTGTTTTTTGCGGCGGAGCAATAACAGAATATTGAATGGAAAAGTAAATTGTTTTGATCGTGAATGGCAAGTGCTTTGGGGACACCGTATCCGTGGTTTGACATCTACGCTAATGATAAAATGTATCACATTCATTGCGTGCGTTGGGTCGAGCCTATTCACAGGCATTAGCGAGCAATCTTGCGCATTCCCTGAACTAGTTTGTAGATTTAACGCTTCAATGCCGTCGAGAATGTCAATCGCTTGGATTTCCAGATGACCTGTTTGTTATTTGTTAATTTATGCGTGTGCGGCGCAACTTTGAAGATGCGAAACATCCGTATGTTTTGTCTCGTTGTGCCTCGGTGTTTCTTTTCTTTAGAGGATTTGGCCAAACAATCACTTAATTTGTGCGTGGACGTATTACCAGATCACTCCTATTTCCGACACATCCTGTGTTTTCAAAACCCCATCGCCGCGAATGGCCATTGTCTCTGATTGTCTGTCGAGAAAGTTGCAAATTGTCGGAATTTGTGCTTTGATGGTTTTAAGCATTTTAAACTTGTGTTTTCAATTTGCGGCTATTTGGCTTAATGGATTTTTTACTGAACAGTCGTGTAAACAAGCTTATGTTATCATTGCAATTTTGCATATCAGTGTCTTGCCATTTGTGTGAAATTGCAGTTCAAGTGGAGAATTTTTTAGCCCCTTTTTGTGAGTAGGGCTGGTTAAATCGTTTATTACAGACAACCAGTCATTATTAAAACAGCTTGAAAAGTCGTGGATTTGTTTGTGGGTCATATATTCAAATCTGGAAATTCAGTCAGCTTTTTTGATGCCAGAAGGTTGCCAGACTGCTGACCGATGTTGACAAGATATTGCTGATTCAATTTACTTGCAATTATCAGGACATACTTGAAACCCTACAGCTAAATTAACAGCTTATAGTATGGTTGTGGTTGCGGCAAAATTATTAGCAGGATCAGCAAAATTTTGAAAGCAACAAAATGTTTTGCCTAATGTGATTTTTATTTTATTTTTTTCCCAGACACCTGTCTCCGTAGCATTAAATGATCCTTTGATGTAAAATTATACATGGACATTTGAGGCTGAAGGGAATTATCCGTTTTTACCACAACAATTTAAGGCTGTATAACAGGGACTTTATAATACTTCAGTATGTTTGAAACGCAAAATGATGAAATGATGAAATGGGACTACGAGTAAGAGCTAATATGGGGTATGGGTGTCTGTAAGGGTCAACCCTTATGAATACTGATAGCTAACCACTGTAGAGTCAGGGTATTTAGACTAACCTGAGCGCTGTTAAGGCTAACTGGAGGGCTATTTAGGCTAACCATAAAGCCATTTTGCCATTTTGTGTTTCAAACACACCCACTTCAATATATGCAGAAAGTTTGTGAAAGTACAGTTTGTATACAGATACATATGGAATACTCCTTTTTTCGGGTAAATTTTGAGGTGCAAGTACATGAAAAGCCATTTGGATTGATAATAAGCCAGCTAATAATTTTTCTCTTGGCTACATCCCTGTGTATTGACCAGGTGAGTGTAATATCGACCATTGTTCATTTCAGATGGTTCAGAGGCTGTATTTTACCTGAGTCGTAGGCCAGATTCTAAGCACTGGGTTGTACAGTTGCAAGCAGGAGGGTCATGTGGGACATACGACTCGTGCCTAGATAGATCTAAAGGTCCCTTGGGCTCTTCGAAAAACTACAGTGATTTCCTTACAGGCACATTTGTAGCCTCTGATGACCCAGCTGAGAATCCTATGTTTTCTTCATGGAACAAAGTATTTGTGCCATATTGCAGGTACAGTGAATTAGAGAGACAGTCAGTGTAAAACGCAGACTGACAAACTCACATGCAGACTGCAGACTTTTTGAGTGTACATGGTGTTATTTTCAATATCAAGTCCTGATCGTAGACAGGATTATTCAAACTAATAGCAGTGAAAGTTGGGTCTGCTAAATCTGCGAGCCAGCGAGCCATGCGAGCCACGGTGTGAGCCATGCGAGTCATGCGAGTCATGCGAGTCATGCGAGTCATGCAAGTCATGCGAGCCATTTTTGCGAGTATTTTTTTTTCAGTTGGTCTGGGAGGTCGTCGACTTTTCACCAAGAAACATAGATCTTGCGCCCGACTATCACTAAACTATCACTTTAAACCGCCCGCCCACCATCTTGGAAGCGGAAATGACCCTGGGGATGAGTACAACCTCGCTCCCAGGGTACTCTCTCTTTCCCTGGGAAATTAATTTTAAATTTAGCTACAAAAGT